TTTGCAGTTGGTTATTAGATGCTGCTCCAGCTGGTCAGAGAATCCCCCGCCCTCTCCTCTCTGCGCCGCAAGCAGCAGGCGCACCTCGCAAACGGAGGACGCCCTTACTCCCAGGAAATGGGCGACAGAGAACCGATCGGTGCCTATGCCATTCCCAATATGCGTTGGCTGACGTCGGGGCAGCATGAGTACGAGCATTTTTTTTATTTTTTTTGCCGATGCCCGTGATGTCGCCCCCCACCACGATGCTGCCCCGGGCAACCGCCCGTATCTAAAACCGCTACTGAAAGTACCCCTTGACTCTTTCTCTCTCACACAAACCTCGTGGTTGTCATAGCTTCCCGGGCCAACATGTGGCGGTCCCTGTTGTGACATTTGGTTTCCCAGCCGGTCTGGCGCGTAATGGAGAGGAAACAGCCTCCTCTCCAGTGAGCTCCCAAAACATACTCTCTGAGCAGGAGCGGTCAGCATCGTTGAAGCAAACGTTTGGTAACGTAACGAAAACCCAAGTAGGAGGAAAAATACTGCTAGCTACTTTCTAGCTGTCCAACACCTCTGACCGTCGTAGCGTTTCTGCTTGCTGTAACTATGGCAACCGAGCAGCATATCCTGTTCAACGCTGATTGGTCAACTTTATTAAAGCTCCCACATTTCGATAGGCTTAAATTTACATTATGCGTGGCGGATAGCTTGTATTTATGCTTGATCAAGAGTTGGGAAAACTGCACATCATTTTTTCATCCCAGCGATTTATGCAAAACATTGAACCTCTCTAGTTTTATGAATTTGCATATCTAAATTTCAAGACGCTTCCCCACTTAAGTAGCGATGCCCATCCTGTCGAACAGAAACATCCGCTTTACCCTGCATTTAGTTTGCAGGTATCTTTCAGCCTGTATATGACCTCAAAATAATGAAATAAAACAACTGCAACTGAGGGGCCCACAACTTCAGAATTACTTAGGAATTTATAGATTTATTTGCAATTAAACAAATCATATTGTACTTCATTGCAAATGCACGTCAATATTTTTTTTTGAAAACAAGGCACTGTTATTAAAATAGCTGATAACCCAGAAGCAAAGGGTAAACCTTAAAGGCAAATGAAGTCCTTTTATACAAATAAATTACTTGCCAAGAAAAATGGCAACATTGATATCCAATGTTAAGCCATGACAAGTGGCCACAGAACTGAATCCAAGGTATGTTATTGGGAAAAATAGCAGCACTACACAACACATCACAAATGATCATTTATATACACAGGCACTTCTTTCATTAACAGTAGTTTTTAAATTACAGTTAGGCCAGTGAAATTAAAATAAAAAATTAAGAACTGAGGTCTGAAACGGTCCTACAGCATTTAGCGATCACATTCGTATTGGCAAGGAAGTCATTCCATGATATGTGTGCAAATTATTTTAGTAAAAATACTAGCTGTATCTGGCACACGCTCTAAAATAATAGTCATTAAAAATACACTCTGGAACCTGTAAAATATGACAATATGACGTGGAATGTGCCAAAATAACTGTGGAAGGACTCAAAAGAAACATACATTAAAGAAAAAGACCCAAAAACACAAAAGCTAGAAGGCAAAGGGATACTTTCTTTGATTAACAAAGGGGCACTCAAAAACTGAGGAGTGGATGTTCTTACTTTTTTTTTTTTTTTTTTAAGTAAAAAAGTGATTTACTCTGACTGAGGCACTGAAATTGATGGGCCTTTGGGGTCATCGAACCGATCCATGGTGTTAATCTGCATGATCATGTGCAGACCGTACACTAAAATTAGCAGCGTAAGGAGCACAGTCACCAGTCCCATCCAAATTGCTGGGGTGAAGAAGCTTGCACAGTCACTGGCGTAGGAGAAGTTTGTGCTGTTGGCCAACCCAAAGCCCTGAATCTGTATAAAAAACAGAAAACAATTATTTAAGAAACCCTTCATCAACACACCTCTTCATGCATTGGTGTTTGACTTTAAAATTAGCAAATGCGGCACTATATTTGTACCTGGAAGTCGATAAAATTTAGCCTCCATTGAGATAAATTTGTGTCTGTTGTGTTTGTGTGGAGCCGGATATCTCCGAAGTTGGCGACAGACTGGCAATGAAAGGAATACTCTGCGGGAGCATAGATGTCACGGCTCGCGATGTAAGATGCACTGAGGTTAGCGTACTGCAGCTCAACTGCATCCAGGGAGAACCATTCTCGTGCAGAGACAGAGTAGAAACGCTTGCTCATTGAAAAACTGGAGATCAGCAAGAGAAGGATGGTCAGAAAGCGTATCAGTGTAAAAAGCACAATCACTGTTTAACTATTCTTTCCAAACTAGTTGTTCTAAACTCTTACATATCCGTGAAGGATTTTAAAATAAACAGATGCTAGCAGTGATATTAAAAATATAGTATTTTTTTTAAAAGTCTGAAACATTAAACATTACATGGAAATAATATCTCTACTGCAGAGATTGAGAAAGTTATTTTGCCTTTTTAGAAAACAAGAAAACTTTGTTTTTGAAAAAGAGAATTGTCTTCAAATGGAAGCCGTGATTTCAGGAATTTCAACAAAATACTTCATTTTTTGAAATGCGTTCTTACTAAGAATTAAACAGGAAGATCCCATTTATCACTTAAACATAAATCCACATTAATTTAGCAACCCTATTTATAAAAATGCCTCAAGATGATCATTTTATGAACTCTGTTGTGTGATAAGAAAGCTGTAAAAACATCAAATTGCTTAATACTTGCACAAAGGCTTGGCCTCCTAGTTGTGTAAGTTTCTATGTTGAAACTAGACAGAAAATAGTCCTTGAGCTAAAATGTCCATAGTGACAACCCCCACTGCTCACTGCTTCCAAGATGTGTGCAAAATAAAAATAACTAAAATGCATCAGCTACAAACAAAGTGAACCAAATGACCAGCTGTTGACTCCAAGATTTTAAATGTCAGGTAAATGTCATTTTGTGTTTCAATTGTAGAACAAAGTGATCTCTTAGAGAAAGCAAAGCAACAGAACGCCTCATTCATGCCAGCACTGTGCTGCACCCATTAGTACACACTGTCACTCACAAACTTCTTTTTAAACAGGGTGTGGGCAGAAGCAGCAGCGGCTCAGCTAGATTTAAAGCCACACACACTGAAAGAACCGGTTTGGAAAAGCAGGTGTGTAGAGCATGATATTTAAACAGTAAATACAAATACATAGAAATACTATTGCTGTGGTACATTGAGCACAAAATTGAAAAGCACATCCTGGGGACATGTTAGAGTTATTAACTAATTCAAAAGGTACAATTTTGAATCTTTAATAAGCAACTTTTTGCCTTACCTTAATCTAAAGCCTGATTGGTAACTAAGCACAAGCCTGAAATGAGAAAAAAATAAAACATGCAACTGATTATTTCTCTTTAAATAACAAAAAAAAAAAAAAAAAAACTAAACTCATCACAGGCTGGATATTGCTTTGGGAAATAATGAAAGGCCACTTTACCGTGAGGTACTGCCATTACACAGTGATCCAACAAAGGAAGGTACATCCTGAGCAAGGTCGATCCATGGTGAGCTCGGACTCAGTCTGACAGTGAGATTTTGAGCCCACAGCATTATGCAGGGACCACCAGATACATTAAACATGATGGGAGGCTTAACTTCAGATCCATCTGCTTGTAGCAAGGACCGACCCACTGGCTGATCAGAAATCGGGGTTTCTGAAATCACCTGCAAAGTTATCAAAATGTTGTTCATTCTCAAAAAATACCCAAACATTGAGAATGTGTTATAATGTGGCACGTTTTGACTAATTTTAAAAACATACTCGTGATGGCTGGAATCCTGTGTATATTGCAGTGTATGGGATGTTTTTTGCTTTCATTGAACTCAGAACTTTTCCAATAATTTCATCTGTTGACAGCAAAATGCATTCAAATTATACACAAATCAAAATATAACATAATGCTGACTACAATTATACATGTTTGTAATTGTAAATGTCATATACAGTTATAAATGTTTTTAATCCTCAGCACTTAAAAACATACCATTCTCATGTAGGACTTCCTTGCATGACTTCTGTAAGCTACAAAACAATTTAAAAATAATAGACTTTAAGTATTAATTAAAAACAGATAACTGATTATTCAATATAACTTTGAACAAAACAAAATCTCACCTGCTACAATAAGGAAGATTGATGAGCAGGAGGTTGCTGACAGACGTTTTGATAGTCAGATGTGAGAGAGTGTCTGCATCGACGAGCACAGGCGAAACACCGAGCTTCTCCTGCAGCAGAGCTGCCATGTTAAAGGAACCAGACCACTCCAAGGCAGGCAGTGTCACTTTTGAGGTAGAAGACTGCATTGCATCCTGAAAAGGATCAAGTGGGCACAATTATCAGTCTGTTTGTCTAGGAAAAAACTATATTAATTTTGGACTAACATATAGTTTATAAAAACATACCTCAATGTTTTTAAAGGCACTATCCTCCTTATTCCCAAATACGCCACCAAAGACTGTGAAGTCATCTTTGCTTAACTAAATACAAAAAAGGAAATAATTCTTGAATTCAGGAAGGCTTTAATAACTAAAACATTTACCAGTCCCATTAACTCACGAGCACTTAATTTAGCAGCTAAATTGACTGAATGCCATTCATAATCAGACATTATTTTAACGGAATTCTTTTTTAATGGCTCAGTTTGTATTTATCATTCTTTAAAAAAAAATACAGCCTGTACAAATTACATTAATTTGGACAATTATTATCTGCTACTTCTTTCATTTTCTTTGTTTCAGTAATACTAGGAAAAACTACATTTCAAATCTTAATGTCTGTTTGAGTGACTTGTTGTGTGTATGCATGACAGTATGCTAGTGTGCCAAAATATGAGTGAACTGGCGGCTCCACGATACCTCAATTGACAACAAACTGGAATGAAATCATTGTCACGTTCATACTTTTCACGCAAGCTACATCTAAAGGAATATCTTGTTTGTGCTTGTGTAGTTGATTAAAAGTCATAGAGGATTTACAATGACAATTTCATGACGATTACAGTCACGATTAAAAATATCACATGGGAAAATATAAATATATGGCTCAGTCACAACACTGAGTGTTCACCACCACCACAAAAAAGACCCAATGTATCACAGAGGAACAGACAAATGGGAAGTGATGCCAAAACTCACTGTCACACCATACTGTTGCAGTGTCACATGGGAATGCAGTACAACTACCCCATTTTGCACAACTTGCATATAAAGTGACTAGCTTTCAAATCAACAAATGGTGAACAATTTAGTGACATAAACATATTCATTACAGGGCCAGAATCTAGTTTATGTGTCAGGTACTGACCTTGTCCTGCAAGAACAGCAGCACGGTGTGGGAGCCAGAGCTGAAGGCAGAGGTGAGGTAGGCACTCAGCTGCTCATAAGATGCTATATGACCAGCTGTAGGTGAGGCCAGTGGTGGCAAGCTAAACATAAAGAAAAAAATAAATAAAGATGAATTGTGATATTAAGTGGTTCAGTTGCACTGACACATTTTTTGAAAATGCTGAAAATCCCAGCGGCTTTTATTATGGCTTTATGTACTTCATTTTTAAAAGAGACCCATTAGTCAATCAAATGAATCCTTTGAGTAGGCCCAAACAAACCTGTGTTTCCTGTAAAGCTGGCATAACATTATACATATATAAGAAATGTCTAAATAACAACAACAAAAATAAAAATAACGAATCGGATATTCATCCTATCATCAAAGAAAACTATTTTGGTATATCAACCTTGCTTTGTCCTCCTGCTTAACACACCACCTCATACAGTAGTATACTTCCACATTTTAAACTCCTGTGTGCATCATCATAAGGAAGTGCAGTACCCTAGCAAAAGTCACTGTCTGTAGTGTAAATGTGTTTGATGTTACAGTTTACTTTGCTTTTTGCAGATGAAGATCAACAACAACAGAATAAACATATCTACTAGTGCTAAAGAGCGTCAGGTTAGGGGTTAAATCAGGGAGACTCGTTACTTCTATGGGTTATTTCAAAATTAAGAAATAAAAGGATGGCCATTATGAACAAATTGTAACAAAACGCACAAGCAAATCTCTACAATTTATGTGTAAATACTCCTCTATATATTTAGCATCTAGACTTTAAACGATTGGTGTTTGCTAGGTTTGCTGTAAATTTAAGTTAATTTGTAAATTTGTGTAGTAACCTGTAAATTGTAAATGCTATAAATCTTTTTCTGTCATTTAATGGTCGTGAATTGCACAGCTACAAGCATTTCACCCCCATGTCATACTGTGTATGGTTGTGTGTGTGTGTGTGACAAATAAAATTTGAATTTGAATAGGTTGGGCAGCAAAGTAGCTAGAAGAGTTAGCATTCGAGTTAGCATACAAGATAACTTTGCCGGTAGTTAAAGTGAGTTTTGCTGAATGAATAAGTAAGAAAAACTAAATATTACCGTTCACTGGACCACATAAGAAAAGGCACTTGAGACGTGGCGCTCCCCAAGGCGAAAAAAGGGGCGAAAAGTAGAATATAAAGACCCATTAACCGAGTGGAGCTCCTCGAACCTGCCATTTTCGTTTAGACTTTTCCGTAACTCTATGCTCACGTGACCCACACCACCTGACAGTCATGTGCTGAAGAGATGACTTCCTGCTTGTTTCATTCAGCCCGAACAGCCCGCAGCAGCTGCTGACACCAATGACACACTACAGCTTTGCTCTCAGTTGAGCATTTCCAGGAGAGAAACCGCTACAGTACCACCAGCTGACCACATTGCTTAGCAGAACAATTGATTCTTTAAAGTATGGTGTGCGTGTGTTTGTGTGTGCATGTGTGTGCGTTTAAACAAATACGGCAGTCTTCCATTATTACTTCATTTATATCCATATTTTCTTTTTTTCACACTTTCATTTAGGGCGTAGACTAATTATCCAAGATACTCTTAAGCGTTTAAGAGTTAAAGTGTTAAATTCCCTCTTTGTTTCATGTCCTAACAATTACAAATAAGTAATTGAGTAAATAATAAATAGATAAATAAATCAGTCTAAACATTTATTTAATTGAAAAGCCACTCCTCAAAAAAATAAAACAACAACAACAACAACAATCCAACAACCCTCTATGAGCAAACACTTGGGAAGGAAAAACTCCCTTTAAACAGGAAGAAATCTCCAAGAGAACCAGGCTCAGAGAGGGGCAGCCATGTGCTGCAATGGGTTGGTGTGATGGGAGAAAGCCAGGACAAAAGATTCATTGTGGAAGAGAGCCAGAGATGAATAATTACTAATAATCAAATAAACAGTAGCCTAATAACAGTTAAGTTAATGCTGTAGTTACTTATCATTTTACCTGTCCCAAAAAGCATAATTATGCTAACATCTTACTGCTGAACTCCTATGTGATATTATCAAATGTAAGGCATATATAAACCTCAACATCACGGTAACATAAAAAGGATAATATATTAATCATTCAGTGATCATGACTGCATAATTAACTCTGTATAACAAATACTTTTACTTTAGCTACTTGGGACTGTAGGTAGCGTTTCACAGCCAAAACAGACTACTTAAATAGGAATGTGACATTTACTTAAAAAAGAGGCCTAAATGCTTGTTTAGCCACTTTGCAGAAAGGTTATCCAAATCTTTTGCAGCACTGCTTTTCTTGTAACACCGTCTTTATTGGGAGACAGGGCTGCAGAAAAGACACTTTTCTTTAATAATATTTAAATCCGATCAAACATTACGACCCCCTGCCATACTCCTGGTCCCCCACCCCACACCCCTGTACCACCCCGTTAAAAAGAAAGAAAGAAGAAAAGCTTGGAAACACCCCTGCTGTAAAGGCCTAGTGCGTGCGCTCAGTCAGTGAAAGCAACTCCCATCCACACAGCTGTAGCAGCGGAAGGATATCGCTGCCTTCATCCACGCAACGCTGCGCCTACAACTGGGAAGGAAAGATAGAATAAGAAATTAGAGAACACAAACATTGTGGTTTCAAAATGGCCAAAATCAAAAGCCAAACTCCACAACAGCACAGCCCGTGTGCAAAATAAACAATCGCCAAAGCCGGCTCAAAGCGGCGTCTCTCGCTTTGCAGCTTGAGTCCATTGTGTGGCAGGATGGGAAATAGGGAAGGAGGATGCGCACTATTTGCCGACGCGCAGTGACATTGTTCTAGACTGCTCCACGATCAGGGCCATCTTTGGTCGTCCTCGCCGGTGACAGTGTGGACTGTGTATTCCATTGGCCATTTATACCCAATGATTAATAAATAATATTTTACTTTGAAGAGCAATTTAAAGGACCTGTGCAGAGACAGTGAGAGACAGTTACCCGGTTTGTGGACTAACCAATTTTATTTGCTTTCAATACCCTTCATTTCTCAAGGCAAAAAGAGGGCGAGACGGGAGAGGCGGTGAGACAACATGGATGAGGAATATGATGTGATCGTTTTGGGCACCGGACTCACAGTGAGTAGTCAAGCTTCGTTTTGTCTGCACAGAAACACACCGAATTGATTCTGTCAGCTTCCCAAAAGATGGTTTTAGCCAGATCAGTGGCCCGATATCCTCTATCCTAGCCAAAGAGTGGAAGCCCCTTGCTTCCCGGCGTGCGTGTCACATTAGAAATGTATCACAAGAGATGCTCTTTGGAAATAAACCGCACCAGCTGATCTGCTTGTACACGACGAGAAGAAAATAGTTCCTCGACCGGGAGTTGTTTGCTTTCCAGAGTCACAGCCGGCTCAGTGTTGTGTTACACCCAGCAGCATCTTTTAGGCGTAACCCTACAGTGTGTCATGGTCCTCTTTGCATAGGCAGGCCTCCATCCTGAGGTTGGCGCAGGCCTGAGCTCCGGTTTATTAAATGACAGAGCTTTTCACTGCTGCCACTATCGCCGCACTTTCCTTTCACTCATCACACCCTCTGCGGCAGAAGTGCGCTTTCTGTGCTATTCTCCCAGCTCTTTGCAGACACGGAAGCGGATATTCTGGTAGTTTTATAAATGGAATCAAATACAACGATGCATATCCACACAATTTTTCTTTTTTATGTAATACATTTTTAATTACATTATTGTTATTATTATTATTAGTATTAGTATTATTATTATCGTAGCTACGTTGTTAAGACGATGCAATCACGCATGCGTACATCTTTTCCACTGTCCCCCGCATCCTTCTGTCAGAACCTCCTTACTTCCATTTACATTCAGTGTCTAAACTAAGCAGCGTGCCTATCTCTAATGATATGCTAAGGTCTAGACCAAAATACTAGAAACATTTCTCATCTTGACAACTTAAACTACACCCCTCAATGAATGATTCAACACATCTCTAAAACACTGGAGCCTTGACAGGAGAAGGATTTATTATAGGGCGGTTTTATACCTAAGAGTTATTGATGTGATTGATGTGTTGGATAAATAAATCCGTTTTCGTGCAGGAATGCATTCTGTCTGGGATCATGTCCGTGAATGGCAAGAAGGTTCTGCACATGGACCGAAACCCCTACTACGGTGGGGAGAGCTCTTCCATTACCCCCCTGGAGGAGGTAAGGACTTCTGGGATCTATAAAACCAATCAATAAACTTTTAATGTTTCTCAGTATATCTCATTTTACTTCAAGTCCCATCTGTCACCCTTTTACTGTCTTCATTTGCTAACTGCTTTATTATCTGTAAAGCCTCAGATTCGATGGGCCTCACAGGCTTTCCTTTCCTTTTCCACAGCTGTACAAGCGCTTCAGTCTGCCAGATACCCCACCTGAGTCAATGGGCAGAGGACGTGACTGGAACGTTGACCTCATACCCAAGTTTCTCATGGCCAACGGTTAGAATCCTGTTGCTAATTATATAAAGAAATGCCATAAAAGTTAGCACGTGATAAGTACACAAGAGCCAAAGGGCTTTTCAGACTATTCAACAGGGTAATTCTGGAGCTTAATACTGTGACTGCAAAATGCTTTAATTCTTCAAGGTTGGTCACACACTAACTGCTTGTTTAGGTGACTCTGGAGACCTGGCAATGTAACCTATTTAAGTGGCCAACACCTTTGCCAGCATTAATGCTTGTGGGTGGTGTTTTACCATGTCCTGGTGTTTTATAAGCAGTGCCATTCGTGACAGGAACAAATAAAATGCTGGGACTTTTTTTTCTCCTGGCCTTTAATCTTTGTTCCAATCAGTATTTTTTCAGAGGCCATCATATTTGTCCATGAAGTTTTTCCACTTTTTTGTACATTTTCTCATATTTATTCTAGTAATTTTCAAAATCCCCCACCAGGAATCTGATGACATTTCTGAGTTCTTACATTAAGGCGGTGGCTGTTGTCCTCTTAGTGATCCATTCAAAAACTAGGGTAAAAAAGTAGCTGGAAATGCATAGGAGGAATCGACCAGACTAAGCAGGCGAAATACAATAGCTGTGGGATTTGTTAACGCGACATATAGTTATATTTCCTGTGAGGTGCGCGTCATGTTACAGCATGTTATGTTGTAGGCTTTCAAGGGATTTGTGGTTATGTTGTATATGTAGTGTGGATTTAACACAGAGCCTGTAAGATGTTGCGTGTGTTTGCCTCCCTGATTGCAGGTCAGCTTGTAAAGATGCTGCTATACACAGAAGTGACACGGTATCTGGACTTTAAAGTAGTGGAAGGCAGCTTTGTCTACAAAGGAGGAAAGATCTACAAGGTGCCATCAACTGAGACTGAGGCACTAGCTTCAAGTAAGTCACCTGAATGTTGTCTCATTACGTTTTGCACGCGATGACGTCGACAGTAGAGTGCTGAAACCTCGGTTTGAATTCACAGATCTGATGGGAATGTTTGAAAAGAGGAGGTTTCGAAAGTTTTTAGTCTTTGTGGCCAATTTTGATGAGAATGACCCCAAGACCTTTGAGGGCGTGGACCCTAAAACCACAACGATGAGGGACGTTTACAAGAAGTTTGACCTCGGTCAGGATGTCATTGACTTCACTGGCCACGCCCTGGCCCTCTACAGGACAGATGAGTAAGAACAACATCACCCATCATCAATCGTTTAATTGTTTATTTCTGCTTAATGTCACAGTTGCATGCTTTCAAATATGAGTCACAGATGTTCTTATCGGGGAATACCAAGGGTTTATTGTTATTATGTGCTTAAACAGATACCAATGGGGTTCTCACATTGCTTTTGCTCCACTTCAGCTATCTTGATGTTCCTTGTTTGGAGACGATCAACCGTATCAAACTCTACAGTGAATCACTGGCACGGTATGGCAAGAGCCCTTATCTCTACCCCCTCTATGGTCTGGGAGAACTGCCACAGGGCTTTGCCAGGTATTTTAACTTAAATTAAACTTATGATATTTATGATGGAGTCTGTCATAACTATCAAAACCACTCCTCGAGTTAACGGATCGTACTCGTTTGTAATCTTAGGTTGAGTGCAATCTATGGAGGAACCTACATGCTGAACAAACCTGTGGATGAGATCGTGATGGAAGGTGGTAAAGTGATTGGAGTAAAGTCTGAGGGCGAGGTAAAGCAGATTCTGCCTTATTGTCCACAGCTACACAAGTTTAACAGTATCATTACAAATTTTAAAGTGGTTACGCCTAAGGTTTATTCAGCCAAATGCACTTAGCCAGCAGACTCACATCATTACTG